TACACAACAGGTATCTGCCATTTGTGGGCCATTTGACGTAAGCATGAGAGAGAAGAACAAGAAAAGAGAACATGAAATATGAAGGCATTGAAATGGATTTGTTTGTTTGAACTCAGTCTACTTGAGAAGACATGCAATCATTTTGAAATGGCTGTTCACAAACTTGCAATATACATTGCGTTTATCTGGACCTCACAAAGCTTTTCATGCAGCTGTACTGCATGTTTCCTCTCTTACATTACTGAAATCCTGTTACTTTAATAAAATGAGACTAATGGCTGCAATTTTTAATTTACTGACCATGAATTTAACCCTAAGGTTTAACATAAAGCTGATATGGAGACTTCAGCCTTGTGAGTCATGGCTTCAGCACTGAATTCTGAATGTGACAACTGTTTTATTTTGAAGCTTTTTCAGCAAATAAATGAAATTAATGAATGTTTTTTATTTCGGACGTGTGAGAAGAAAAAAAAACACATAAAGAAATCAAAATATTCAAAACAGCAACAAAACAAAGCAACATTACCAAACAAAGCAACATCTAATAACCCAATATATCCGAAAAGGAGTACGACGAAGCATAATTTATTTACTCCTCCCCCTTCTCAATCTCGATCATCAGTCATATACCCCAATCAAAGCCCCTTCTTCTCCCTGTACATAGTGAGAACCAAAATTTTTTATTTTTTTTTACTGTTTTTTAAACTGGGTCATGCTTGGACATTACATGAGCTCTACCTCCAATCTGTTCCACAACCTCACGCCAAATACTGAAAGACAAAATGACTTGAGTGTTGTACAAAATCTTCCATGTTTTAATTTTAAATCTACCCTCCAGTAATAACCCCCATCTCTGTTAAAAAACAAGATCTGAATATTTACAGGAAGTTGGTTGTTTATTGCTTTGTACATTGTCTGTACTGTTTGAAAATGAATCAGGTCTTTGAATTTTAGTGTTTTTGATTTTAAAAAGAGTGAATTTGTGTGATTCCTATAAACAGTTTTAGGAATTATCCTGATTGCTCTTTTTTGTAGTATTGATAGTGACTGTCGTGAACCTTTATATGATTTGACCCAAACCTCTGCACAGTAATTTAGATATGGTAAAACCAGTGAACAGTATAGAATGTGGAGTGATTTGTGGTCCAGAATGTGTTTTACTTTACTGAGCACTGAAATGCTTCTTGATGTCTTGTTTTGAACGTGTTTTATGTGAGATTTACAGTTTATTTTATCATCAATAGTAACACCAAGAAACGTTTCATGAACTCTCTCAATTTTCTCCCTGTCTACCTGTATCTGCTCATATGTATCCCTTTTACCGTAGCCAAAAAACATGAATTTAGTTTTCCTTAGGTTTAATGATATTTATTTATATAAATTTATATAATCACTCCGCGAACAAAAAATTGTGTCATCTGCGAAGAAAACTAATTTTAATACTTTGATATTTTGCAAATGTCATTTATATATAACAAAAACAGTTTTGGACCCAATACTGACCCCTGGGGGATGCCACAAGTAAACAATGTGATCATAAAACCAAAAATGAAAGCATCATCCAACAGAATAAAAAGGGACGGTCTGCGCTCAGGTACCTCAGTTACAGACCTGGTGGGACATGGTGCTTCATCTACAGTGACGGAGAACCAAATACAACGTGGACGGACGTCTTCTATAAAGGTGGGTCACTTATCCTGTTGATTTGTCAGCAATTTTAATTGAAACAAGACACATGCAGAAGCACAAATAACGTTATACATGATCGCCTGCGAGCACAAATGCAAAAATTCAGTCGTCTAAAAATCTCATTTTTTGACTGTGGAGGTGGGACAGTGGAAGATATTAGTTGTTTTAATGTTTCTGTTGATAATTTTATATGGGGCTATTATAGCAAAACTATTTGTAACTGTGTATGGAGAGTTGTATGTCTGTATCTCAATCTGTGTGTCTGTAGTGAGATTTGTCAACGTGTAAAAAGATCTGTAAAAGCCTGTGAGCCTGAGCTCAAGCTCGTTCATTCTGGCTGCGTATCAATCTGCTGCTCTTTACCTCAGTAGTTATACCGCTTGCAAGCCATCATGAAAGTTTTTGCTCAGTGATCCACAAACTCAGCAAATTCATCTTGTTCACGCATACCAGACAATGTCGTGTGCCCTCAAAGACTCTGGGGGCATAGCACCACCTGATGGCTTGCAGGCGGCATAACTACTGAAGTAAAGAGCAGCAGAGTGGTACGCAGCCAGAATGAACGAGCCTGTGAACCTGAGGTCAGGGCAAAGAAACCCTGACATTAATGATGCTGGATACCACAGATTTCCGTTCCAATCCAATACTGAGTAAAATGCAGGCTGGTATTGGCGATATTGATCTGATACCGATACTTTGTGCAAATACACCTAATGTGTCTGGTAATCTAAAATGTAGTGTATTTAAAATCATAGCTTCATAATTATACAAGACATCAGAGTAATTTATTTTAAACTTGGAAGTAAATTGAGGTAGCAGCCTCATTTACAATATAGCCGAGCTAATACAACAACAGAAAACCCAGAGGACATATATAATAAATGCCACAAACGTTTGTCAATAAAATATTAATTTAACAGTGAAAGCAAATTAGACTGATTGTAAATAAGAGATATATTTTATCCAAAAAATGTTTTTTGTTTTTTTATCCATATTTTCTAGTATATATTTTACTGAGTTCACCATGGCTGTTTTATTGCAATTGCTCTGTATAATTTATTGACACCTAGGCTATGTAATCCACTTTAAATGATCAGTTCTCTAGGAAACCTTACCTAAATAAATCTAGGCTTTTTTTCCAATGTGAGATGATCTTAGTGATAACCCTTGCAGCAGCACCTGACAGTCTGCTCTCCTCTTCTGTCCGCCTCATCATAAAAGCCCTGTATTCTATGTTGTGGTTTAACTTGAGGTGTTTCACAAGATGTGTTGTGTTGCCACAACTTAATACTATTTTTCCACAAACATCACAAAACGCATCTTGGCTGTTTGTGGAGCTGAAGTAGCTCCACACATGAGTCTGAGGCCCCGTTTACATGTAACAAAAACTTTCCCCTGTGCTCCTGGCAATGATATACATTACCTCAAAAGACTGAAGTATCAAAAGTATCAATATTTTGATTTGAGAATCGATTATGGAGCATAAAGATCTGTTATCGGAAGTATCAATATTTCAGTATCGAGCCGCACATCACCACCTGACATTACAGATATGAATCACTCACAGCAGAAGTGTAGCAAAAGTCATGTGTAAAATAAAAGACAATTGTGAGGCCGGCTTGACTTGCAACTGGTAATTTCTCTGTATTTTCAGCACTTGTCGCCAAATACTTAGACTTTTCATCTATTAATAGCTTTGAATGTATTTACTAGGGCTGGTCTGAATAGCAATTTCTTGATCTCGATCCCAATTAAAGACGAATATCCCGAATATTCGGGGGTGCAGTGACTGCGCGCGCGTGTTGAGTCTCCGACGGGCGTGACGCACAGGCCGCATATACTAAGACCAGTTTCTGTGTTTGGGTTAGCGGTGACGGCTCCGTTGCCACGGCGGCGGGGTATTCGGAGATCAACATTGATATCCCGATTGCAGCACAGTGAATGAATAGTCGGCTAGTCGGCTATTCGGGTCCAGCCCTGGTATTTACAGGTCGTTGTACGCACTGACAATTCTTTTTACACATCAACGGCTCTTACAAATCTTTTTTTCACATCAACAAATCTTTTACAAATCTTTTTACACATTGGCTAATCTCACTACAGACACACAGATTGAGATACAGACACACAACTCTCCACACATTTACAAATAGTTTTGCTACAACAATACCCCCATACGTCATCAGTGTGATGTCTCATAGCCTCAGAGGAAGGAGACAGGGTGGAGGGTTGAAACTGACCAATCAAAGGAGTGGATTTCAGCCACGGTCCCGCCTCCAAAGTCTGAAGAAAGAGCGGTGCACGCCACAGCCTCGCGCTCGCAAGACCCTGCCTTGTGCACGCCGAGCACAAACGCGAGCGGATACTGTTCATGTGAGCATGTCTGGTTTTCATTGCTAATTAAACGCCTTAAGAGTGCATCCACGATAGGACCAGGCGGGGGTGGCACAAGCCATCTCACCGATTTCAATGAAACTTTGCCAGTTTAAAGGGGTCCACCCAAAAGTACTTCAGTCTAAGTTTAAGGAAATTTGGTCAAACTGGGGGGATTTCACCACCCCTCCTTGTTTTTTTTGCAAA